AGGAACTTTTAGTCTGATTAAAATACTTTTATTTCTATACAGTTTCGTACTTTGACGAGAATTCTCACTCTCTTATTACTTCATATTCTACTCTTGAGCAAAGTAGTCTCTATTAAGACTACATTCTTTTTGCCAAAAGCTTGTCCAATAACTATAATTTTATTGTAAAGTTTACCATTGAATTCTTCTTGTAAATAGGTATCCAAACCATAAACAGTTTGATGATATTGGTAATTCTATTGTTAAATATCTTAAATTACCTTTAACAAAACAAAATATCGTAAGTTCACTTAACAGGTATAAGCACCATTATTTTTTTTTCACATAGACCATATGGAAAGATGCCTTGCAAACAAAATTAAAACGTAAACGTTTTGAATATCGAAACAACACTGTTGTTCAAGAACACTTGCTAAAAGATTCACGATCAGGATTTGGACGTCCAGTTAAACGAAAAATTGGTGAAACAGCTGAACGTGATCGATACAAACAAGTAAATTAGAACTGAATATTGCTCATTACTTCATTTTTTTTCTAGATAATAATTTCTTACAATGACGAAATATCAACTGATATTCAATCAAAATCAGATCAACTACGAGATACAACTACAATTGATATTCATACTCAGTTACGTTTATGGAAAGAAACACTGTGCTTTCGTCGACAATCTATCGGCAATCGATCAACAACAGATATTCTAAAAGATTTTCCTGGTTATACTAATCCATTATTGGTAATTTAATTTTTTATTTACTGTTTATTTGTACTGAATAAATCGATTTCTGTAACAGATCTTTGAAGAAATTAAAATGTTGTTGAAAATCGATTTGAGTGCTGCTGTACGACGACAAATTCCTATATTACTAGACAAGATACTTGAAACTCATATTTTTGTTACAGGTAAATAAAAACACTAATATATAAATATAATTCAAGCTTCATCTGATTTCAGATTCACCTGCTATTCGATTAATCAAATTTTTATGTCAAAAATTCGATGAAACTCTACGACATACGTTTTGTGAAGCCGTAAGTTTTTTTCTATATCTTCGATTGATACTTCTGTTAGAGATTCCAATATAAAAGACCTGAGATTATTTTGCGCCGATGAAAATCAATAAATGATTAATTCACATGAGAAAAAGCATAAAACTAGAATTTCAACTTACGATAATTGTGATAGGTATCCATTTTATCTGGTCTTATCATATTCATAACTCATCTGTCTTTCATTCAACATACAGCTCTTATTCACTTGTACTACTCATATTTAGGGGTGGTCACTTAGTGTTACTTTACTACATAAGGATAAGTGAATCCTTTATTTTTAGAAAATAAAGATAAGTTAATCATTTATCTTTAGAAAATAAAGTATGAATGATTCATTTATCTTTATCTTTTAGTATAAAGAAAAAAAAGATAAAATTGATCCCGACAACTAGCGGTGTTTTTACGGATACTTTTTTTTTCGTGACTAAATGAACCTTTTATCTTTATAAAGTAAAGAATAATTTTTTTTGAATCATTTATGATGTATTTTCTAAAGATACATGATTTACTTATCTTTATTATCTAAAGATAAAGGGTTCATTAATTTTTTTCCTTTAGTATAAAGAAAAATAACAATAAAGAGTCACCCCTACTCGTATTAGAAATTTCTATCACAATGACTCAGCTGTGATTTTCAAATCAATACATTTATAAATTAAAATATTGGGTGCGGGTGTGGGTGTGGGGTGTAGGCGGGTGTCGCTGTGGGTGTCGTTGTGGGTGTCGCTGTGAGTATCGCTGTGGCTGACGCTGTGGCTGTGGGTGTTAATCAGAGGTGCAGAATCCTCCCGTGTGCTCGTAGGGCATTATCGGAAAAACGTCTGACTCATAGTAGAATTATAGCGAAAATAAATGCGGGAAGGCATCATAGTGCGGAGAATTTTTTTAAAATCACGGCAGATACTGTACATCTGGTGTTAAACTGTTATTGGTAACATCCGCATTGACACCCACACCCCACAATCCACACCCACATCCACACCGACCCACACCCACACCCACCCACATCCACATCCACACTCACACTCTGAAGAGCTGCTACATTCGTATCGATAATTAAAAACAATGACGAAAGTCACGATACAGACTGATGACCAAGTTCAGAAATAAAGTTCTGTTTACAAATTTACAGATCGGCTATTATTCGCCATGAATGTTAATCTTACTCTTGATCAAACGTGATGGTTCATGTTCTGTATTTGTTGTTATCCGCGTCAGCGACTTTGGATAAATCCAAGCTCGATACTGTAAGACTAAATAAAGTCGCCCTTTATCGTGATAATTTGAGCGAAATTCTTCGCGTAGAGCGTTAAAGTTATCATTGAGCTGAAGCCTAGTTGATGGGTTGTACAAATCGCTGTGGACTGTAGATTTTAGAAAGTTGCCAATAATTGACGTACTAGTGACAATCCATTCGGAAGGACCAATGCTCTTGATTATATTGATTTTAGCACTTTCGTGAAATAGACTTTTCATAAACTCATTCGCAATGCGAGAACGAGGAAACGATAAACCCTTGCGAAGATTATTCTCCACAGTGGACGCGTCTAATTTGTAATCACGATTTTTTGTGTTTTCCACAATAAAATAGCGAATCTTATAGGGTTTATTACAAGTGTTATCGACGCCGCTACACAGATATCGACCTATATTTGACATAATTTCATTTGGGCGCAGCCAAATATTTTGAATTGCTTCACTGGCGACTGTGCGCATGAATTCGAGTCTCGACATGTCCTTTCTTAAAAGATCCACTGTTGTTTGTACTCCGTCGTACTCCACTACGACTTCCATTACAGTCTTTTTGGAGAATTTTGGTACCAATTTCAAACGCGTTTGTCCAACTTTGGCAAGTGCCAACTGATTTTCATCAGGGTTGAAATTCAGTGGGACTTGTTGATCGGCATTATATTTCACACCATTGATGGTAATTCCTTTCGTTGCGAGCTGAGTTACTCTGAAATATGCCGGATCAAGAACCAAGAAATAAACTAGATACATTTCAGTTTGAAAATGTATGAAATTTTCCGGTATTTCTTCCTTCATGATACTTGATAAAATAGACTTTTCGATTTTTTCCAATAAAGACCCAGAGGCAGTTTGAATAATCTCTACCATTGCCGCTCTTTTGTCTTCTTTAACAAAGTTGTTCCATTTTTCCTGCTTGTCGTTATCAACTTCATCGTCACTCCAGCTTTTCTTGATGTTTTTTTTGTGAATTGACATTTAGCCAAAATTGAATGAGTTCTCTACAAATTAAAGATCATAACTTACACTACTTCATTTGGTTTATACAAATAGTATAAAATGGAGTACACAGAGAAAAACTGAATTGATTTTTACTGGTAGAATAAAATAAAAAACATTGCTTCAGGGACATTCTTACACAACAAACCATTTCTCTTTGCAGAACGGAAGCTGTTGCCGCTTGATGCCTGGTGTAAATACTTCTTTTTCTTTTCTCTGTTTTCTCGAAAACAGAGAAAAGAAAAAGAACCCGACTCGACAAAACAGAGAGTCAACAAAAACTGATCTAGATGCTAAAAAAGTGAAGAAAGAGCTGCTGCAAATTTTAATTCGTTTTCTTTTTACATATAAGTTCATTCTCCCACGTAGGGTTAGCAGACAAACATACATAAAAAGAAAGAAAAAAATAAACCGCAAAAACAAAGCTCGATCTTATTACAAATATTTTTTCAGGGTGTGGCTGTGGCTGTGGCTGTTAATCAGAGGTGTGGGTGTGGGTGTGGGTGGGATGTGGGTGTGGGTGGGATGTGGGTGTGGGTGTGGGTGTGTGTGTGGGCGTGGGTGTGGGATGGTGGGTGCGGTGGGTGTGCGGTGGGTGGGTGGGCTGTGGGTGTTTTCAAAAAAGGAGACATATACCCACACCCACACCCCACTCACACCCCACCCACACCCCACACCCACCCACACCCCACACCCACCCACACCCACATCCACACGCACACCCCACCCTGGGGTCTGGATGGACCCCAAGCGGACAGCAAGCGTTCACATGTCTTTCGGGATAGTTTATTACGTAAACAGCTAAAGCCATCGACACATTAGAAGACCCCGGGTCTTCTATTCTGTTCTGTCATTCATAAGTTTAAAGGGGGGTCTTCTATTATGTCCCTAAAATAAGTCGTATTTTCTTGCTATCGTCACTAACATAAATTTTTAAAAGCTTTTCATGTCTTGTGTTGAACTCATTTATTTCGATTTTTGTATGAGAAAACAAGTAGAACAAAAGACTATAAGAGAAAATAAGAGAAAATATGAGAACATTTCACCAAAAAAGTATCTTTATAAAAAAATATACTACAATACACGAAATAATAGTAGCTAGTATTTCACAAAAAGAGGCTTATCGACAAATGAAAAAAGAGCTTTACATAAAATGTTATTATTGCATACAATAAAACAAAACTAAAATTAAAATTATTTATTTTTCCACGTCTTTTAATGTCAATTGTTTATTTTGAATTTTATTGTTGAAATTGCCATTTGTTCATCTCATTCTGTCTCGTGATTTTGGTCATCAGCTTCTTCTTGATTTGATTCGATTGAATTTGGATCAAATTTGTACCAGCTAATATGATTCGGTTGAATGATTGAATTATCAACCCATGTATATCCAAGTGAACGAAATGCATTTTGAAGATCGATTGATTTTAAGGTACGATAACATGCTGCAGCAGTTAATCTGGTACGCAGGATGCGTTTTTGAGAAGATGATAATTTGAGTTTCAAACGAGGTCCGTTTAATTCTAGATGTTTCTCGGCACAATCGTAATAGTGATTTTTAAAAGCAGAAAAAACATGTGCGTCCAATAATTGTATGTATTGTGTACAGCCTTTTGGAATAATTGCTAAACATACACCGTTATCATGCATTTTTTTTCTTAAATTATCGTTCAAATGACTTTTACAACTATCTGTAATAAAAAGTTTACGGTTACCGTCTTTGACGTTTTTTAACTACCAATTTATGTATTTTTCCATAGTTGGTATGTTAATAACCGATTTAGGAGTAAAAAAATACTTTGACATGTGACGAATAATGTTGTTCTTCTTTGACAGCAACTTCCTCTGTACCTTTAAATAAAAGAACAGGTTTGATTCGATGATTACCTTCTGGAAATACACATAAAATTACTGTTGCAAAACGTTTATCATCAAGGTGACCCTCAATTTCATTTTTGGAGTTGACATCATTAATACAACGTTTGGAGTGATCGCCCCATAAATTTAACGGTGACTCATCCATATTAGATACATCAGATTCCGTAAAACAACCCATACAACCACGTCGTGGACCTAAATGACTAATGTCGGCGCCAGAATTAAAGAGGGGTTGGTGTAAATTGAATAACTCGACAACGGCAAGAGCTAACGATCTGCAGTTTTCACCAATCGAAAGAGGAGACTAGGGGACATACTTTATCTCGATATTGTTTCGGACCAAATTGTTTTGGACACTGTCGTTTCTGGAAATCTTTTCTGAGAAGACATACAAATGGCATGCCAATACAATGTATTTTTATTTTGATATTCTCATTAGATAGAGGAATGTCAAATCTACACTCCTATATAAAAATTCAAACAGTTAGCTTCTCATTTTCTTATCGTTATCAAGCGACATCGAATTTCTGATGCTCTATAATAAAGAATATCACTCTGAATTGAAAACAATTATTATCACATAGTCACTTAGGATGTATCTAGAGATTACAGATCCCACTAAAGGAATTCTTTAGTCGACGAAATATCACGTATATTGCAGTTCACAAATGCGTTTTAAAAAAACTTCATTGGAAAAATAATTATAAAAAATACAAGATATGAGAAGCAAATAAATAATCCTTGAATTCTAAAAATATGTCTAAATTTTCGGCATATTGAAGTCGCATGATTATTTCCATTTTGTAATGATGTTTTTATATCGAGATACATAGTTCAATAGAACTAAACGTACTGTTGCAATATTCTACAGGCACATTATGTGCCAAGAATTATACATATACACAGACATACGTTCATTTTTCCCACGAAATATATAACATAAATTGGACTAACTGGCATAGAGGACGCAAAGAAATAGTTTTTTTATTTCAATATATATCTTTATTGAGAATGGACGTCCTCGCTTTCGTCTTATTTGTTGCTCTGAATAACGAATTAATGCCCAGCATTATGTTACACTTATCTTTATACGTATACTCTGCACGTGACCAAACAATTCTTTCATCCACCACATTTTATCACATACTGCTGTAATGCCACACGGTTCTCATTTCTCAGCTGATCTAAAGGAAGTTTTATTTCGTGTGATTACATTTGTTGAAAAAGAAAAAAAAATGGGCCATTGATTCCTCTTAACAATTGCAATGGTCGACTTGTGGCTATGTTGGGAATTTCAGAAGCTTCTTTATTACGGTTGAAGAATGATATGAGAACGTCACTAGCTGTTCAAGAACAACGGCAACCACCTCGACTTCGTTCACGCTCAAGGATAGCACGACCATCAAAAAAAAATCACGATCTGCTTCGGAGGGTGTGGGTGTGGGTGTGACCCATGTAAAAAAAATAAGCCGAAAAATCAGCAGATGTATGATTTTAATCGATTTCAGCAGTAATTAATTGATGAAAATCAAGTGATTTTGATGTTTTCTGATTAAATGAAAGATTATAATCGGTTTTTTCGCATAACTGATTCCAAATCATTAGTTTTTAACCGATTATAATCGTTTTCTTCATTGGAATCGATTAAAATCGATGTACAACGAGTATAATCGATTGTTTTTGATTTTTTATTAATCAATTAAAATCAATTTTCAGCAGTAATCAATTTTCATCGATAGTTGATGATTTTTTTTCGATTTAAATAAAGAAATATTGATTTTAATCCATCGCAATCACCTAAGTTTTCGAATCGATTATAACTACTGGAATAAGAATTGTCTAGAATCAATGTATACTGATTATAATCCATGGAAATCGGCTAGATTATCGAATCGATTATAATTATGGGGATAAGAATCGCCTCAGACCAAGTCATGTTGACTATAATCTACCGCAATCGATTAGATTTTTGAATTGATTTTAATTACTAGGATAAGAATCGCCTTAAATCAAATCATGTTGATTATAATCCACCGTAATCGGTTAGTTTTTCGAATCGATTATAATCATTGGTAACGATGCACCACTTAGCTTAACTTAAAATTTAGTTTAGTTTTATCGCTTTACACTTAATATCAAATTCAACTTTTTTATACTAAACATTGAACTCCCTTAAAATTACGTTTGAGTGATTAGTTTACATAAAATTTACTGAAGTTTAAGCCTTTCATCATTCATAAAGGAGCATGCGATGCTTTTTTCAACCATACAAAAGAGAATTCCTGATAACTTCTCATCAGTGCCGAATAGCAATAGATTTCATTCGTACAATATGTTAGAGATTCATAGTTAACTGAAGTCTACTCACTTGTTTAGTACAATGTATTTAATTATGGATTATCTTTTCTGTATATCAGTTTTTTCCAAAATCTGAAACCCATTCGTATTCCTGGAGTATTTGTAACGATCAATGACAAGAGAGATGTTATGACAAACTGGAGGAGTAGCTTACCGCTACCCTCGATAATGATGTTTATTAGCTACTTTACATCTCCAGAACGTGTCTATAGCACAATCAGCACACGCTTATCTATGAAACAGGAACAAAGAGAGAGAGATACGATACAGAGAATAACAGGGAGAAAGAGGAAAGAGGAAGAGCTGTGAGCCGTGATGCATATATCAGCACAGTAGTGTTATTTTATATTTACATCCTTCGGTCTGAGTTTTGAATATATATGGGAAAAATATAATGTTAAAAGTTCGCGAGCAAACAATAAATACTATTAGCATCAAAATTATATTTTATTGTTGTTTAATTTTGATAAGTGACATCGAAATAATGATTTATGATAGCCTTTTTAGTTTTTAAAATTTATAAAGAGTGAGAGCAGCAGAAGCTTCTGGACTAGATTCCCATTATAACTCGTTTATTCGTAACAGAATCATACGACTGAAGGTTCTCAAATCGAATGAAAAGCTTCAAGTAGAGCATACATATGTATAGATTATTGTCATTTACGTGGTATCTTAGCAGTGCGTATATATCGTTCTGAGAAAAACTGATGAATCATATTTCTAGAAATGTCCTTGTATTTTCAGTTTTCCCGACTTTTATTCTGTAATCGAATACTAATCAAAGATATAAACCTTTAACGTGAAGATTTAGCACGATGACGCTTATGCTCAAGTGCTTTTCACGTGAACTGGAATTAAATGTGTCGAGATCAAATTTCAATTGGTTGAGATATCGCTAACCATTAAGGTAAACAATGCTTATCTTATGTGGTTTGCTATAAACCTATATTTACGAGAAATAAACTCAAAATCAGGTATATTTACGATTTTTTTATCTTACTGTGCCCTCATCATAATTTCTCGCGTACAATATATTTTACTGAAGATTCTAGAACATGCTTTACTTATTCCCAAAGGAGCTGAATACTACGGTTCAGATTTTCATTGTATACAATAAAAATACTGATCATGAATACCATGTCCTTTTACTTTTTGTGTATTAAAATTCAGCTAGCTTTTGATCGCTCAATTGTACTGTGGGCGTAGTTTTCGTAATGCTATTGTATAAACCGTCCGAACATCTCGACTGCTAGATGTTTTGATGTTATTTTTAAATATTAACACGTATCTCAATCCTAGTAGATCTAGAATATTTCGAATGGTTATTTTACGTGAATTTTACTAATGAATTCACGTAGGCAAAGAAGGAAGGATCAACTTGACTGAATCTTTTAATATCAAATGATCGGATACTTTAAAAATTTCAACATGTGACCTGTGTCGAGTCCCAAAAACCGATGTTTTCTTTAATTTTTTTTACCATCGTCAATGATTCTAATAAGTCGCATTTTCTTATTGAAAAACGAATATTTTCTTCTCTTTCTATCTTAGATGTTGAATGATTTGGTCCACAAGGTTAGTACCATATTCATCCTGAAAAACTAATACTTCCTTTCTGTTTCAAATTATATACAATTTGATTTCAGAAGTACTTCTCATGTTCATATTGAAAAACTAATGCTTTCTTTTATTTCTCTTTCAGATTATATATCACTCGATTTACCATATCAGTATGATGTTCAACATGGAAAAACTAATATATCATTTATTTCTATTGTAGATCACGAATGATTCATTTTACAACGTGAGTTTCAGGCTCATATTTGCGAATATAATACATTTTTTTATTTCTATTTTAGGTCATAAACTATTTGAATTATACTATAAGTCTTATGCTGATATTGAAAAATAAGTACTTTTATTTATTGCCATTTTGAGATAATAAACGATTTGCTTTACAAAGTCTCGTGCTCATAGTGAAAACTTCATATTTCTTCCTTTTCCAGT